GCGCATCAATATCGAATGATCGTTCCTCGAGTCTGGAGTGCTGCGGCTCAAAGATTGGAACACGGCTCGAAAGCATGACCTGCACCGCTCCCAAACGCTCCATGTGCCTTTATGGTCGATACATATGCTTTAAAGGGGTCCCTATATAGGTACTTTAAGGCCTAAGTATCTACTATATGGATACATGGAGCCTTTGGGTTATGAGCATGGCCAACCCGAAACACCAAACCCTGTAAGTTCTATGCCCAGAACCCTACAAGCCCCAAACTCTTGAGTCCTTCTTGGTCTTGCAAGCTTCGAAGGCCCGACCATCCTTGTGCAACTAAATGCAACTAAACGCTACCCTTAGGCCCAAAAAGTAGCCCTCAATGAGAGTTCCTATAAAGTACCCTTAGTAGTAGAGGGCCTCAAATTAGGGGATCTGCTTTCTAGATCCTTTCGGAATTCTGGACGTCCTTGTGCAGCCTAAGCCAAAGCCGGATCCTCTAAGCAGGTCTCGTGGTGCAGCTCGGACAATTCTGCCACTTCATGCCTCATCGCGCGAAGGGCAGGCCTGGCCTAAGCATAGGATTCAAAGTAGTTCCTTTTTGGGATTACGTTATAGGATTCTATATATGAACCCCAAAAAGGAACTACTTTGGGGCCTATGGGTGAACCCTAAACCCTATAAACACTCAAGCCCTAAAACCGTGAACCTCAAACATAAAGCTCCTCACACCGGGTGCTTTCTCTTAGTAGCTGAGTGGATCCCCAAAAGTGTACACTTTTGGGGGCTTATGAACTCAGCCAGTACTTGGAGGATCATGGGACTTAGTAAGTAAGGTTATAAGTACCTTAATTGGGGTTACAAGTATAGTTACCCTAATTATAACCCTAGTTACTAAGTCCCATGATCCTTTTCCTTTCAGTAAGTTCTTCGAAGAGAGATTCAGGATCCCAATTGGAAGAGCAGAGCGCGGCTTTCGCGCACTCTCGACAGGGCCGAGGGTTTCGGGGTTAGTGTAACGTAAGCTCCAAGGAAGTATAGGGATGTGAGGCTAATCTGATACTTTAATGCAATTGAATGACAGGTTGTGAACAAGCAGTGACAAAAAGCAGCAATAATATCAGCGATCAACAACAACAATGAACATCAGTAGCATACTGAGGTTAACAATGGTAAGAACAACCTCAATAATAACACTGCAGTAGTAGGAATAATAACCGTACAGAAATAATCAGAGGCAGAAAAAGAGTAAAAACTAAGAGTAACAATATCCATTATCATAGACAGAAAAAGACCATACCTTAAACCCCGAACCCTAAACCCGAAACCTCTAAACACCTAAACCACTCCCCTGAACCCCCTAACCCCAGACCGTACGACGCTGCGTTGTTGCCCTAAACCCTAAACCTGCGAGCTGTAGGCTGACAAGGCTTGGCTATGTGGGAGTTTCCGAAAATTAGGGGTACCTTTAAAGGGATCCTTAAAGGGATCTATAAGGGTTCTAGAAAGGGTTTAGGGTTTAGACTTTTCGAAGATGAGGGTACAGTATATTGCGGGTGCCTATAATAAGGATCCTACTTTTGAGGGCAGTACATTAGGGCCCCTTTTTTCGGACCACGCGAATCTTACCACTGGTCTTATCGCGCTACTCGTAGCAGATTAAAGTAAAATCGAATAAGTCTGGCTCCAGTCGCTCTTTCAATCCTTACCGTTTGATAATTATGCCATAGAACCTAACCCCCAACCTCGAACTTAGAATCTGTAGCCCAAATCACAGAGCCGTTTGAATTTCTCAGCTGGAACACCTCAACCTTGTTTGTTCAAGAAGAAAATAACAGATGCTACGCCTTGAAACCCGAACCCGAAACCCTGGCCCCGCAACCCGCACTAATCCCCAAGCCAACCCTACGGTTGATGATAGAAATCCTGCATTACCCATAACAAGGAATATACCATAATTCCGCATAATTCCCATAGTTTAGGGTCCTGAAGGTAATGCAGGATGTATACCATCCCCAAACCCTACCTTAAGCGACCATAACCTACTTTTTTGTAGGTTCTTATTATAAACCCTAATATGGGATTTATAGGGACCCTGCAAAAAAGTAGGTTTTCGTGGGTCAAGGTGGTGACCCTATGTCAGGCCGAGTCCTTCGCCTCCGCCGAACAGCCAAGAGCTTCGGGCAACTTGTCGGAAGCTGGGGGAGCTGTCCTCGGCCCCGATCTGGTTTCATATTCGTAAAATAGGGGCCTTCAAAAAATAATAAGAACAAAAATCATTATGACAATAACATTCACAATAATAGTACGATAAATAAATTTATTATACTAATTATAATTCCCAATACTATATTTGGGGTTCCTGATTATAACTATAGTATATTACACGCGAAACCCTATCTTAATTATTACTGCCGCTATATTATTTGTATCACGACTGGCAACCTCAAACACAGTGCTCTTCTTTGCAGGAGGCGTTTAGCCTCAGGGAATTGGGTTTATGGCTTCGGGTTGAGGATTTGCGAATGTGCGATTCAGGCTTCGCTCTGGTAAATTACCCAGCTGCCGGCCTAACCTGAACACAGCCAGCCTTCCCTTGGGACAGAATTGAAAGGTCTAGTCCTGCAAGTTCAGTTCATTATGCAAGGAGCAGTCGTTCTGAATGCAGGAGGTGGATGGAGTTGGTACAATAATGAAACTTAGCTATGACTAGTTTGGGGCTGTCGAAATCCTGACCTGGGACATCCTGGGACCACCTAGTTTTTGTGCAGGGTAGGCTTTGGGCGGATATGTTGAGGGGTTCAGGATTACGGATTCGTTAGGGATGAGGATTGAGGGCTCAGTAACCCAACGGCAACTGTTGCCGTTGGTGTTATGTTGTTTTAATGCTTTGCGTGCGACTAGAGTCCTGTCAGTCTTCTATAGGTGTTGGATCGCTCTACAAGGCTCGTAGGGTTTCTGTCACACGCATGGGTTAGGTTTTCGAAAGATTAGTGGAACTCCGAAACCTAGGCTCCAAACCTTATCACCAAGCCCGACTCAGTAGCCTAAACCCTGACCGTAAGGTTTTAGACAACCCTAGGGCCGAGGGCCTAGATCCTGAACCGAAGATCCTAAACCCTGAACCCTGCGGTGTCACTAAACTTCGGGGTGGCGCTGTAACAAGATGCACCGGCAGATGGGGGTTTCTTTAGACTTGTGTTGGGATTGAGGCATGAGGTACCTTGATGTACCTTGGTACCTGACGCTTCAGTTTTGGCGGCGGTTTACAATGTTTTAGATGCATTTTTACGGACTTTTCTCACACGGAACCTCAACCTAAGAGTTTCTACAAGAGCGCCCCTAAACCCTACCCACACATCTTGAAGCCACCTCTGGCAAGCGAGGCGACTCATTTGTGGAGGGCGCCCGCCACTTTTGATCCCGCCCTGCACCTCAAGGAGGGCACCTGCAACATCTTATCGGGTTCAAGGCTATGGGGTTTAGGGTTCAGAGGTTTGGGGTGGTTTAGGGCTTAGGGGTGTAGGGTTCTGGGGTTTAGGGCCTAGGGTGTAGGGCTTTCAGGGTTCAGGGTTCAGGGTCTAGGGTTTAGGGGTTGAGGGTTAAGTGAACTATGATTTAGAGGGATCCCCTCTGAGGGGGGATAGCAGATAGAGTTTGCCAACAGAAACTGATGGTTGCTTGGACAGCATGGCCTCCCAAGCAATAGCAAACACTGGCAAGCCCTACTGTTGATGATATATACATCCTGCATTACTTTCAGGACCCTAAACTATGGGAATTATGGTATAATCCTTATTATGGGTAATTGAGGATGTATACCATCAACCGTAGTAGAGCGTAGCAAGCCTTAGTAAGTTGGTTTGTTCGTGAGGATTGCAAAGCCCTGCAAAGGCGTAGTAAGGATGACAGGGCCTCGAAGCCGTGAGCACTTCTACAGTTTAGTAGCGCTCGCCAAAGCTGGTATTGCTGGGCACTAGTGAGCACTAGTAGGGACTGGTGAGCGCTAGTGAGTGCTCGTGGGGCCAGGTCAGTTTATCAAAGGGGAAAAGGAGGGACCCTTAATGGGGACCCCTACCCTATAATGGGCTATGTAATGGGTCTATAATGGCTATATTATGCGTATATACCTAGGGGTCCTTATTAGGGGTCCCTCCTTTTACCCTTTGAGTTTACGGCGGGGCAAACGGAGTCCAAAGGTTGGCTCCAAAGCCAGCACTCTCCAGAACCCTTACTAACAAACTCTCCCATTGCCTTCCCCACTTAGGGGGCCCCTCTAAATCATAATTCATTTAGGGTTTAGGGTTTGGGGTTTAGGGTTTAGGGATCAGAATTAATGCAGGGTATTGGGGTGCATCATAAATACGGGCTTTTCCACATCGGCTTATGATCTTCTGCAGTAGCGCCTCGTCGCCGACTTTGTGGGTCGGCGCAAGAATGTAAGCAGCGTGAGTATGGTAACTACATGGTACTAGGTGCGTGGCGCATGTGCGCCCCTGATGGATTGTGAGTGTCATAGCAGGAAAACACTGGTAAACGCGAGAGATTATGCATGTAGGCTTGGAGAGGGGCTTGGGAACAAAAATATTAGTTTTGGTTCGCTTCTAAAGTTACTGTTGGTTTCGCACATTGCGGTTTTTTTGCTGCACTCTTGGTAGTCGTCGTTGCAAAATCTCACTGCATGATATGGCAGTTGTTGTGGCCACTAGAGCTGCTGACATGACAAAGTCTTTAGGTTTGAGGCTTTCGGGATCACGTCTTCAGGGTTTACAGTACAGGTAGCAAAGTCTACTCTCTGTAGTGTCTGCAGACAGCAGCTCCAGAAGCTAGCGATGCATCGCTGAAAAGCTGCTTCCCAAGTGCAGCCAGAAGTCTGCAGAAAGCACGGGCGGAAGCTTGGAGCTTGCAACGGTGTTTTGTTTGGGTTTAGGGGCTAGTGTTGACGTCGTGAGGGTTTACAGTTGAGGCACCAGAGTCCACTCCCTGTAGTGCTGGCAGACGGCTGCTGCAGAAGCTAGTCCTGCATCGCTCGAAAGCTGCTTCCCAAGTGCAGCAAGAACTCTGCAGGAGAACACGGGCCTTTGCTTTGCCTGTACATGTACTGGTGCACGAGCTGCCGAACCAAATTGCTTTCGCAGGCATTCTGGCCACGACCGCTTTTGCGCGAGACCTTGTTGCCTATGAATGTCTTCAGGCCCAGCCAGCTTCGATCGATGCACTGCGTGCCGGCAAGTCTGCTCACAGACCTGGCTTTGCCAAGGTGCCGGGGGACATGCTTCGTCCACTGTTTGTTCTGATGATTGACCGCGGCATTTTTCAACCGCATCTTTTTGGCGGCACTTTGCCATGCCACGTTTCCATCACTGAATATGACGGTAGCCTCGGGCTTGCTGACCAGCGTGAGCAATCCCGACTGGTTGATGGCCTCAAGGCTTTCTGTGGGAGGCCGGGACCCCGGAACGGTCAGCGAGGGTTCAGGCACAAAGAGAACAGGGGGCTGCCCACGTTCTCGTGCCCCCAAAACTTGAAAGTGCACAACGAAGGCCTTGGGCAGAGGTTTGCCTGCACGTTGCAGCTTGCGAGTGAGTGCAGCAACTTGCGGGGCAAACCTGTTGCAAGTCTTTGAAACGTAGAACTTTCCTAAGGAAGTACCGTCGACTTCGACTGCACCTTTCAGAGAGACCTCTGAAGACCATTTCAGGCCTTCGGAAGCTTCAACGTGTCTGAGGACACCCAAGAAGTGGTCAGCCTAAGTGTCCGAATCAGCTTCGGAGCAAGAGGTATAGAGTTTAGGCTTCGGGCTTGGAATCAGTCAAGCAGCTGCTGTCCTGCCGATGTGGCAGGTCTGAGTCAGTTGCGGAGAGCGCGGCGCCAAAGTGAAATCCAGACCAACGTAGCATCTGATCAAATCCACGAGCTTGAGCGGGGAGCAGCTCAGACCGCGAAAAGCAGAGGTCTGCAGCATGTACGTGCGAGCTCTGCATTCGGAATGCAAGCACCTCAGGGTATAGGGTTTAGGTATAGAGGTTCAGGAAAAGCAGCTGGCTAGCTATGACTGTGGAACCAAAGCAGTCGCACCTCCAATGCGCTGGATGATGCACCGTGGCGGGGATCATGGTCACATCGCGGCTGTTGCAAGTCTGACACAACGGTTCTCTAGGCAGGAAGCCCTTATTCACGAGCCACTCAATCGCTTCGCTATCGTTGCTGAGGGTCTTGGTCAGGCTTTCGTCCGCAGGTTTGCGCCTGCGATGTAAGGGTTATAAGGGTTTAGGGATTGATTCGAGGGCTTAAAAAAAAGCTTTGTCAAAGCAACCCTGGAACCTGCGCAACTCCGCCGGTACCGGCACTGGCAGAGACTCGGAGTTGTCGTAGACTGCCTTGCGCTCGCGTCTCTTGGCCACCGGGCCCACCTGCTGGGTGCTCCTGCGCTTCTTCTCCACACGTTCCACTTTGGCGTACTTGCAGGCTTGCTTCTGCTTGAGTGCCTGCGCAGCAAGGAGAGGGGTTATAGTATACAGGGTTTCGTGTTTACTGTTGGCAGGAAACCCGCAACCCGGCACCTTAAATAAACCCAAAACCCTGAACCTTAAAGCCAAAACCCTAAACCCTGAACCTTAAACCCTGAACCCTGAACCCTGAACCCTAAATCTTAGACCCTAACCAAAACCCCACAAGAATGATGGCCGAGAGCTACACCGAAAGAGCGACACCGAAGACCCTAGGCAGCGAAAGCGACAAGCACCTGGAGCTGAGTCTTCAACTCTCGAATCTTCCTTGCCGCTGGGGAGGAGCAAGTCTCCATGCGATGCCCCTCTTTGTGGCATATGCTACAGCGGTGTTGTGCGGTCTTTTTAAGACACCGCTTGGAAACAGGCATGCTTCACGAGGAAGCACGGAGCTCCGGAAGCCTTTTCCCCAGACTAGCCTTGGACCTACGGCCGCAGGTGCCCGGGCAGAAGCTTCTAAGTGCAACTGCAGCTGTAGAATCAGTAAATGCAGCGGCGGTGTGCTGTCTTTTGGCTTGGAAGCTCAGCATCTGTTGGTCGTCACAGCTACAGGTGTTGTTCGGGAGCTGCAAGTCTGCAGCGCAATACACAAACAATGTCTCGGGAAGCTCTCATGGCAGTGTGGAACATGGACATGACGTCAGCACGTAAGAGCAGACAGTCCCCGAATGATTGAACATGGCGATGGAAAGCGACAATTTCCTGGAGAACCTCTTGTTGCTGGCCAACGTCTCCCGGACAGTAGAGGTCAAGGTTTCCACTTGTGGAACCTTGGCAGGCCTGTCGAACTGGCAAGCCGGAATGGACCACGCGCAACTCGTTCGTTCTCACCCAGTTCTCTAAGGACAAGAGGAGGGCCACAAGAGAACGAATGTCCTGGAAAGCAAGGGACTGTGAGAATTTTCGAAAACTTTTTCGCAGAATTGTCCTCCAAGAGAGCTTGCCGGTCAGCCGTCAGGAGGAAGTATACATGGAGTAATCCGTCGATCAGATGCTTGGAAACCTGTGCGAGCCACATCTCACGATCCTGTGCAGCCCGGCTCAGAGTTTATCTATTGGACAAAAGCTTGGAAGGCACAGAGAAGAAAACCAAATGTGGACATTTGAAGACACCGTCCTGTGTAACAGGCAGCGTCGTGAGCAAAGTAGCTGCGAGCGCCGGCAGAATGTCCAGAACACGCAGCTCGACGCATCTCTCCATTCAGACCTGCGGCAGGCTTAACGCACTGGGCGATGTGGGTCAGAGGCGCAGGGTTTTCGAGGTTCAAAGCCGTTGCTTAATCCAGTGGCCTGCAAAAGGACGGAGCGCCGACAACAGCTCTGCAGCGACACGCCCCGTTCACTGAGACAAAACAGCTTTGCGACATCTGGTTGCTGACGAAAGATTTGAGTCTTTACGAGCATGGATCTGCTGTCTGCCAATCAGAGCTTTTTTGTCTGGGCACAACTGCTGTGGAAAAGCGGAGAGCAGCATGCAACAAAAGAGTTGAGCTATACGGCGGAGCACGTCAACCCATGGACTTGCTGCCATGGTTCAAAAGATATGTGCGAACGTCCCTGCCATAGGCACGTATCTCGCGACCGGCCTCGTTCAAGCGAGCCATGGGAAATGGAACACTATGCCAACACTTTCTTTTTCCGTCGCGGCCATGTTTCCAGAATTGCGAACATAAGAGACGGAGGTGGTTCTCCCACCTGCAGCACAGGGAATGGAAACATGAAGAAGTTCAGGATCAAGTTGAGTCTAGGCAGCGCCTGCCGCTGCTAAAGATGTGAGGCTGCATCGAATAGCTGCATTTTTCGCAGGCCCCCCATTTCGGCTGCCGCTTCTCAGAAGGAGCAGCGCGCGAGGCCTCTGCATCGGGCACGTCAGCGCCGGATTCAGGCTTTAGGCTTGACGGTTCAGGGTTCAAGGCTCAGGGTCCAGCGCATAATCTAAGGCCTCTGCGTCAGGAATCTCTTGGCCGGGAAGTTCCTGATATTGCTCAATGGGATCTGGAAGAGCAGCCTGCGGATGAGAGGCAGAGTGCAGCGAGCAGACTAAAACATTCGATATGAGAAAAGGAATGCTTACATTGATCATGGCTGTTTATACAATGTTTTTAATCCAATACCGCAATGCGTCGCTAACCGAACCCTTTATATCGCTAATCGCTAATCGCAACCTCCAGGAGGGGTGGGTGGTGGAGGGGTGGCTGGAAGGGTGGGTGGTTGGCTCAGGTGGTGGGTGGCTGGCTCAGGTAGTGGGTGGCTGGAGCGTGGGTGGCTGGAGTGTGGGTGGCTGGAAAGGTGGCTGGAGGGCTGATGGCTGGAAGGTGGGTGGCAGGAGGGGGGGTGGTTGGTGAGGTCTGCCATTGAGCCAAAATTTTAGGGACTTTAGGGTTGAGGCCCAACCCATGCGGGTTAGGTTGTGTTCCAGACCGATGCTTGCATGGGGCTAGGGAGGTACGTGCAGGCAAAGCCGCTTCCCCCCCCTTCCCACTCGCTCAAATGGCCTCTCGTGAGCGCAAGCCACGGTCTGGAAAGAGGGCTGAGGTTTAGGGTTCTTTCTTTTTTTTGCTTTTTGCAACGTAGCGCAGAACATGTTCACTGGCCTAGCATGGCTGGCGCAGGACAGGTTGGTGGGTGGCTGGAGGGTGGGTGCCTGCAGGATGGTGCTGGTGCTGGTGGGTGTGAGGCTATGGTGGGCTATTCGCAACACACACGCATGTGTAAAGTTTTCCTTTAAAAATAGCCTAAACCTATCCAGGTATGGGCGGTACACGGTCCTGGGAGGCCCTCTGCGAACGGACACCGGTCGTTCCCACAGAAGAGGAAGCAGCCGCTGCAGCAGGTGCACGAGCCGGTGCTTCCAAGAGATGCGGATTCCAGCTCCTTGCCTGGAGTTCTTGTGCACGCATGTAAAGTTTTCTCTTAAAAATACCCTAAACCTATCCAGGTATCGGCAGTACACGGTCCTGCGAGGCCCTCTGCGAACGGACACCGGTCGTTCCCACAGAAGAGGAAGCAGCCGCTGCAGCAGGAGCACGAGCCTGTGCTTCCAAGAGATGCGGATTCCAGATCCGTGCCTGGAGATCTTGCGCCTCGCCGGACGACTCCATCTGCTGCACCTGCGGAGAGTGTGCGTGTGCGAGCGCATGCGTGTGCGAGCATGTGTGTGTATGTGTGTCTCCATGTCCCTGTGCATCAGAAATATCAGAGTTATGACAGCAATCCAATTCCCTCACATGCAGAAACCTCACAGGCGTGACAGCGATCCGATTCCCTTACATGAAGAAATCTGACAAGTATGCGAGCGAGCCGGTTCCTGTGGTTTGGAAAGTGTGAAAGATGTCGGGCCTCCTCGTCAGAAGAGTCAGCAACAGCGACCACAGCAGGCTGAGAGGAATAGCCCTGCAAGCCAGACCACTGAGCTGCGTACCAATCCTTGAAGCGCCGTGACGCCGGACTATCTTCGGCCCTCAGGGGGGAGGAAGGAGCTCCGTGACTGAGCCAACTTGCCAACGTCCTTGGACTAGGGCTGCCCGCAGCGACAGAGGGCCGACGCGGGGGAGTGGCCGGCGCCGCCACGTCCGGAGCCGTGTCACCAAGAGGAGCACGAGACACGTTTCGATCAACGGGCACCAGTGCCAGCCAGTCGGCCTCACTCTGCGGCAGAGACCATGTTGAAGGCCAACCCCAGCGTCGATGTATCCATGATGCGTACCGCAGCGCGGCTGCCAAGACGTGCATCCCACACGCACCGGACGTCACACAAGCCGTGGCAGAACGGGCAAGGGAAGGCGCATAGCGAATCAACCATATCCAGGGTAATCCTCCGCGTCGGGTGTCGCGGAGAACCGCTGTCCAAGCAATGTGGACCGCAGTGTCTGGAAATTGACACAGCACCTGCACGGGACGCAGACAGGAAAGAGAAGTTCTGCAAAGTCTCCAACAGAGACAAAATCTGAAGAATTCTAGCAAGCGGCCCAGAGGTGGTCCTCAATGTCGCAGTACTGGAACTCGCTGAACCGCCGCAGCGCAGACGGCAGTGGCCAACGTGCGACGCGCAGAACCAGGACAGTTGCCAGGGCGACGGACAACCATGGACTCATGGCAAGTACATCCTGAAACAAGCCTGAAGCCAAGAACGCTAAACACAGAACGTTATTAGCCTTCCCCCCCCTCCCCCCCCCCCCACCCTCCCCCGCAGTCACAAGAGCAGGACTCATGGAAAGTATATCCTGAAACAAGCCTGAAGCCAAGAACGCTAAACACAGAACGTTATTAGCCTTCCCCCCCCCCCCCCCCCCCCCCACCTTCCCTCGCAGTCACAAGAGCAAGGTTTTCCCCCCTAATGCAAAAACTGGAATCGCGGAAAAAGCCGATTTTCCGAAAGGCCCAAATGATCCCTGAAAATCCGAAGACCTGGAAAGCCGAAACCCTCGTAAATACCGAGTCAAAAAGCCCTGAAGTGAAGGAAAACGCAGGGGCACAGACGCGCCACAGTCCAACTACATAAACTGTTTCGGGTTTAGGGTTTAGGGTTTAGGGTTTAACTATATACCTTGTTTCTGAAACGCAAGCTGTGCCAGTAGGGGACATGTTCCCACTTCAGGCTCAGACTACAACAATCTGAGGTCAGTTGGCGGGTTCGAAACTACACCGAGTCATTCGATGTCGGTGTGAACGGTTCATGATTCAGGTTTTCTTGGCATGGTGGTAGTATGGTGGTAGGTTATGGTGGTAGGGACGTTCCGATCGTTCGGCCCCGGCGTTGCGCCTCTTCTCTCCAAACTCTAAGCCCTAAGTTATCCACAAACCGCTAAACCCCTAAACCCCAAACCCTTAACCCTTAAACCCTTGTATACCCTAACCCTGAAGCTCTCTGTCCTGAGACACAGGAGCACGAGTTCCGCGTCCTGGAGTCCCGGACGGCGGCCAACGGGATTGCAATCAAGACCTGGAGATTCAGGTGTGGAGTTTAGGGTTTAGGGGTCTAGGGTTTATAGAAATTGTATACGGTTTCCGGGGTTTTGGGCGAAATGTTTGCTTTTCAATTTTGATTTTGGGATTGGGCTGGGCTGGGGGCTGGGGGCTGGGGGCTGGGATGTGTCCTGTTGTTGAGGGGTTGAGGGTTCGGGTTTAGGGTACTGGCGACTGTTCTTGGGTAATTATGGACTAGAGATTGGAGCATAGTGTTCCGGTGAGCGGACAGCAAGTGTACATTTGCACTTATGGAGTGGCGCTCGACGGCGGTCTATCTTCTAGGGCCAGTCGTGCTGTGCAACCGGATCCGTTTTCACTGTGTAGGACGTACAGACCAAGCTTCGCAACGAAATATGGACAGGCTTGGCGTACCGTCTAGGTCTGAAAGTTGAACCTATAGTCCTTATGCAATCCTGACAGATGACACTATGCTGAAAAAATGACTCCAAACCCTGTTCTCATCAGCACGGCCCCTAAGTATAGGGGCCTTAGTAATTAAAATAGGGTTTTGGAGACTATAATCATAGTAAGGAACCACCAAAATACTATAGGTAATTATCAAGGCCCCTTTAGTATGTTACTTAAACACTGATCCCACTGAATCCCTAAATGTGAAACTAGAAGGAGCGGCATCGCTCTTTTCACACAGAGCAGACCGAAAATCGTGTGCCTTGAGCCAAACCCAAAGCGGAGCAGCTGTACACTTCTCGATTTGTGCCTGATGGCACAACTACTTCTCTTTGGTCTTCACACTAAACCATAAACCCTAAATCCCAAACTCCTAAGCCCTCAACAACTGCTCTGTGAATCATCTGCTTCCCATCCCAAGGATCCTGATGTTCTTCACTTTTTCATCGAGTTTATCCTTCGCATCGTCCGGCCGCACAAGCGCGGACGGGGGACGGGGAGTTCTGGCACTTGAGGTTTAATGTAGGAGCCTAAATAACTACCTATACTATTTCGGGGGTTCCTTATTATAATCAGACTATAATGGGCCCCAAAACCTTATTCTACTTATTCAGGCTCCAATAGTATGGTATCTGAGCTCTCTGTAGCCACCATATAGCATTTGCCTTCTATTACTATTGTCCCCTGTGTCTCCGCTCATCATGATGGGGCTACCTTCAAAAAACCCTACACCCTCAACCCAAAACCCTCAACCCGGATGCTCCTGGCCTTTTCAGGAGGGGAGGCCTGGGAGTTCTTGTCGGGTTCAGGGTCCTGGCACAGAGA